TTGGGCTCTTCCTAAGTGCTTTTAGGATTCAGGGTTTAGGTTTTGGGGGTTTAGGGGGTTCGGGGTTTAGGGGTTCAGGGTTTAGGGTCTTTCTAAGTGGGTCTGTATAGTGTTTTATAAGATTTGACAAATGGTTTCAGGGCTTCCCCGCAACCCCGCAGGTCCAAACCTCAAAGCTCCAAGCGCAAACCCACAAGCCCCAATTCCCGAAGCCCTAAACACTAAACCCCAAGACCTGCCCGAAACGGGCGGGATTGCGCAGCTGCACCCGTCCCAAAACGGCCCTCAAAAAAAACCCCAAAACCCTAAACCCCAAGCACTCAAAAAAGGCCCGAAACCCCTAAAGGGCCGACGAGAACGTCTTCGAGAAGCTGTGGACATATGTGGCATCGACCCTGGTCGCCGAAGGGACGCCTCAGCTGTGTAAGGGGTTTGGGGCCTCAGGGCCTCAGGGCTTCAGGGCTTCAGGGGTTCAAGGTTTGGGGGTTTAGGGGTTTATGGTTTAGGGATTTAGGGTTTAGGGGCTTAGGGTTTCCACTTAGTGGCTGTGATGATGCTGTTCTTGATGTTGCTGTCGACGCACATCTTGATGATGCTGGTTTTGATGACCCTGACACTGCCGATTGTGTAACTGTTGATGGTGCTGATGATTCATATGATGAGGCTAACCAACGGGCTTCGAGCGCAGGGCTTGGAATTACGGGTGGTTGGTTTCAGGGGTGAAGAGTTCTGAAGCTGTGAGGAGCTTGGTTCTTTGGGTGTGAAATTCTTGAACAATTGGAGTACTAGTACCCTCGCACAGCCCTTAGTATGGTTATACCATAGCAAACCGCAAAACCAGTTCGATTTATTAAGGCCCCGAAATCCTCAAACCCTTATATTGGGACCCCCCTTAGAACATTTATAGACCACCCGCGACACCATGTTCAAATAATGAAAGCCACTATTTTCAGACCCTCCCTCTCTAAAGGTGAGCCGATACGGGGGGCGGAGATCAAAACAATGCCATCGCAACTCATAACCTAGCAAAAACAAGGATGAAACCCGAAAAGGGTCCTTGTAAGAACCCTTGCAAGATTTGGGGCTTTGGGGATGTCAGGGAGCCTCCACCCTGTCCTAGGTTCAGACCAACGCGGACATGCTCTACGGCAACGGCGAGAATGTGCGGCCGGCCATATTCAGCCCCTCTGCATAGTGCTCAACCCCAAACCTAAACCCAAATCTTACACCCTAAAAACCGAAAACCCGAGACCATAAACCTTAAATCCCAAGCCTTAGACCGCAGCTCAGAATTATCAGCCCGCGGCCCTCACCCGGTTCTGGAGGCGATTTTCGCTAGCCTGTTGAGTATATTGATACACCTCAGTACCCGATGTTGATTCTGAAGGCCCTTGAACAGCCCACTGGTCAGAGTCTTGATCGTGCCAGGCCGGGCGCATCGTCTGCAAGACCATTGACAGCATCAACAAGGAGCAGCCTCTAGATTGATACGATGCTTCAGATAACACGCGGTTGATCCTACAACTTATACCTTAAAACCTAATCCTACACCGTACACCGTAAACCTCAAACCCTACACCCTAAACCTTGAGTCCTAAACCCCAAACCCATCCTTGGCTTGGAGTTTTTTTGCTTCTCTCTATGAAGAGCACTTCGCCATTGGACAGCACAGCAGCCTGGTGCGCAAGGCGCCCTGTGTGCCCTTTAAAAATCTTCAACGCCGAAGCCAAAAGAATGAGACAAGGACTGGCAAATGAGGTCCAAATAATGTCCAGTACTATTTTGGAGTGCGTTTTTTTAGTGTTGTATAATCATGTACTCCAAAGCCCTGCTCGAATTATTAAGGCCGCTATATCCGCCTCAAGAGGTCCCACACTCGCTCAGCCTTGTGCCGTTGAGCAGGAAGGCCTCTTCTCACCGCAGGCGCCGGTTGCTGCATTATGTGGGGGGTTTAGGGTTTAGGGTTTGGGGTTTAGGGGTAGTCGTCGCTGTCATCGTCGTAGTCCTCGTCGTAGTAGCCGTTGTCGTAGTCGAAGTCGTAGCCGTAGTAGTAGTCGTCGTAGTCGTCTTAGCCGTGATAGTCGTCGTACTCGTAACAGCAACAGTAGAAGTAGCAAGAGCAGCAACAGGAGCAGGAGCAGCAGGAGAAGGTGTACTGCAATGTCGCATAGTGTCCTAAATCCTGCACCCCGGATTTGGGTTTACCAAGTAAACCAAGAAATCTTGCATCCTCTTGAGCCCTGAACCCCTAAACCCTAAAAACTCTGGAGCCCTCGTGATGGCATGTTTTCTGGCAGGTGCGCGCGGCCGGCGACGACCTTCGAACGGTGCTGAACGAGAGATACGAGGCCCGGTCCTTTTCCCAGGGTTTTGGTTTTTGGGGTTTTAGATTAGAGATTCAATGTTTAGAGTATAGGGGTTTAGGGGTAAAAAGGTTTGGCCCTTTTCCCCGGGTTTCGGTTTTGGGGTTTGCTTATTTTGATACGACTTGAATTAATGTATTTAGTACACATTTCATGAGTTGCATTAGTATAGCAGGATAGCGACTGTACTAGCCCTACTGTTTCTACTTCAGAGTGTTCCGCAAACTGTCTTTCGTCCGTATTTGAACCGCATCAAGGGCCAATGAACTGTTTCAGCAAGGTTTATGCTCGTAAAGTTGGGTTGCGGTTCGAGGTTTGGTGTTATTCAAGCAGATTCGCTTATTCGCACGTAGAAGAAGGCCGGAGGGGCATTCAAGACCTAACACGACTCGCGTGGCTGATTTCATAAAGCACTGCCGCAAAGCCTGTGATTCTTGCATGCTTGTAGTTTTTAGGATTGTCTAGGTTTAAAGCGCTGGGTTGAGGGGGTAGTGTTTGGGGCCTAGGGGCTTCAATGCTGGTGCATATCTATGAACAGAATCGCAAGCAATCCGCAGAGCTAACCTACATACCTGCACTTGCTTTACTTGGGCGTTCTCGCGTTATCCCTTTTTCAAGCAAAAGTAAGTAGATTATAATTGGGGTTATAAGTCCCCGAAGTGGGGTTATCCTAATAATAATCTACTTATAACCTGACTTACAAGCCTCTGCAGGATCGGAAGCAGAATCCCGACGCTTGGCTCAATTTGCAGGAAGCCCACACCCCAAAGGCCGTACGAACCCTGAACCTTAGGGCCCTAAACCCTAAACATCTTTCCCTTGACCCTAAACCCTTGAACCCTAAACCTTAAACCCTTCAAGCCTAAACCCTGAAACCCTAAACCCTTCAATCCTAAACCCTTCAACCCCAAAGCCTTCCAGCCTAAACCCTTCAACCCTAAACCCTTCAAGCCTAAACCCTTCAAGCCTAAACCCTTCAAGCCTAAACCCTTCAAGCCTAAACCCTTCAAGCCTAAACCCTTCAACCCTAAACCCTTGAACCCTAAACCCTTGAACCCTAAACCCTTGAACCCTAAACCCTTGAACCCTAAACCCTTCAACCGTAAACCCTTGAACCCCAAACCCTGAAGTGTTTCAGAGTTGGGGCGCCCGGGATTGAAGCTGAGCCTGCGGGGTGTTGCGGCTTAGGTAAATCCTCAAACCGTGAATCCACTGACATCGGGGGCCCTCTTCGTGCCTTGCGGGTTTAGGCTTTTAGGGCTTAGGAGTTTCAGGGCTTGGAGGAGGGTTTTGTAGGCTGGGATGTTTCGGCATTAGATGCGCCGATATTGGCTTCGCGGGCTTTAGGGGTCGGAATCCTCGATCCGAAACTCTAACGTCCTGTCTTACACCCTAAACCCTGCACCGTCTCTGCATTCCAGACTATGACTCTGAGTCCCCAAGTGTCGACCTCAATCCCTAATCCCTAAACCGCCACCCTGAACATTAAACCCGAAGCCTCAAACCCCATATCCCACTCCCATCCCCAAGCCTACCCCTAAGCCCTAAACCCTAACCCCTAAACCAACCCTAAACCCTAAACCTAGAGTACGACAGTCAACAGGCCGAGTGAGGTGATGCACTTGAGGGTTGCGGGGTGTCAGATTCGCTTTCCACGATGTGGATTCTACCGACCGACAAACAGGCTAGGTGGAAGAAGGCATTCCAAAAAAAACCTAAACCCAAGCCTGAAGCCTCAAACCCAAGGCCGAAATCTCTAAGACGGGGTCTGAATAATGAGGAATCCTACTATACTGTTCCTGTATTTCGTTGTTCCAAATTTGATTGTTCCGGCATAATGATACCCCCAAACCTTTATTCTGAACATTACAACACTTATTTCTTAAGAGCATTGAGCCCTAAGCTCTCGAACTACGGTATGATATTCCAGGAAGCCCCTACTCTGCTTACTACGGTCCCTATATCACGTTAGGGGAACCCTTGAGGGAACCCTACTAGAAAACCTGTTGATCCGCCGCTTCCGAGGACAAGTACCTCGGGGAGGATTCCTTGTTCGAAGAGTTCTACCTGCTTTCCAAAGGTGGGAGCTTTTGCCCGCTTCCAATGCCTAGGGTTCCTTCAAAGGGATCTATAAGGGTTCCTGTAAGGGTTCCTTTAAGGGATCTATATAGGGTTCAGGATTTAGGGGACTCCAATATCCCTTCGTGAAGGAATATACATTAAGTCATGGTAGGATCCCAAATATGATTTAGGGTATATTCCTGAATTAAGGGATATTGGAGTCTCTGGGTGCCCGCTCTCTGAGGTCTACTGTTCTGAGAAAGGCTTCACGGAGCTATGTAAGTTTCATGGGCTTTAGGGGTCTAGGGTCTGGGTGATAGGATTCAGGGTTAAGGGTTTACGTTCAGCGACGATTTCATACCCGGAAATCCATGACCAATCAATTAAGCAATATTTTCTTTAAGCGCTGGAGAGGGTCCTTGATAATTAAGGGGTCCTGTTAAAGGGATGTTAGAATCTCTGGAATGTAGTTCGACTTATGCTTCCAGCAAGAGATCCAAGACGGACCCTGTCACCGAATCTTCTTCGCTTCAGCCGTTTGAGCTTCGAAGAGGCACCCCTGCACTTGCCACAAGCATGGCCGCGATGCTTCGTGTTTGGCGAGTTTCGGGTGAAGAGTTAATTTCTATACCCGTGGAGGAGTTGACGAACGCGGGTGAACTGAAGCGCCGCTTGCAAAGCGTGTGTGGATGGCCGAAGTCTTTTCAGAGACTCCTTCACGAGGGCGCACCTTTGGAGGATGATGCCCAACTCGATGAGCCTATGGATGTCCAGCTCGTCATGCTGCCACTCGAGACAGGATTCGGTAGTTCCCAAGACCAGCTGAACTCTGCACTTGCCGATGCTGCCGCTGAGGGCGAGCTGGAGATAATCACCCAACTGCTGGAAGCTGGCGCTGACAAAGACCTTGAGGACGATAGGGGATGTGCTCCTCTCTGTGCAGCGTGCCTGCATGGCCAGACGGAAGCTGTGACGTTGCTGTTGGATGCTGGAGCGCGCACAAATGTTCAGGACGACGACGGTGGAACACCTCTTTGCTTGGCATGCACCGGAGGACACGCCGACATCGTTGTGCAGCTGCTTCGGGCGGGAGCAGATCCGGATCTGCGTTGTCCACTCATCAACGCGGATGATCAAGGCCATACCGAGATTGTGAAGTTGCTCCTGGAACATGGTGCTGACGCGGACTGCATCCGTTGCACATGGAGCGATCCTAGCATCCGTCGCGGATCGAGCTTCGGTTCTGGTTCTAGTTTTTGAGCTGCCGATCTTACAGTGAGTGTCCGGCCCGCATGCACTGTCATCTCCTACGGACCTGAAAGGCTGCATGGAATGGAAACGGAAGTCGCAGACGTTGTAAACTTAAAGTCCGAACACCACTAAAACTCTACCACCCACTGGAACTTCAACCCTGAAACCCCCGAACTGTAGACCCCCACATCCTAACCCCCGACCCATGACCTGGGCCCATGGCGCTGAAAAACTTCTGATGGCATTTATTTCATATCAGGGTTTTCGGCTCTGGATCGGAACTTGCCTCTCACAATACTCTACGCCGCAACTGCGAAGAAACTCTCATGGCCCAAAGACCCTGCCAAGCTGTCGGGGGCATAGGTTGCATGGGTTTCTTGGTATAACTTGAGGAAGGTTCCTTGATTCAGGGCCTTGGGAGTTTCTCGGGCTGCGTCCGAGTGCCATGCGACAGGTGAGGCAGATGATGAGATGCTTCAAGGCGCGACGGCTAACCTACTTGGCCGCCCTGAACACCCTAAACTCTTAAGCCTTAAACCCTAAACCCCCAACCGTCAAATCCTAAACCCTAAACCCTGAACCCCAAACTGCGTGGTATCGGAGTTGCTTAAGGGTTCTGGAATTGTTGGAGTTTCCAGAAGCTCTAATCCTGAAATAAAGAATCCTTACATACGGAAGGGATTCTTCATAAGGCAGCCCTGATTGGAGGATCTGGGAGGCTTGCCACAGGGGTTTAAGGCTCTGGGCTTTCAGGGATTTAAGATTTGGGGTTGAGTGCACGTGTCGTGTGGGGTCGGCGTGGCTTTTCACAAGCTCCCCCACATGTTTAATATTTGTGGTCTAGGCTGTGCAAAATTTAATAACCCGGTCACTCGTTGCAACTTTACTTTTCCACCCTACACAGCCGACAGTTACGATACCTGCGCCGGAAACCAAATCCAAACCAACAGCTGAGCCTGCACGCAACCTCCGGAACACGCCGGTGCGTTTATTGTGAAAGCTATTGTCTTGAGACATTGAAGTAACTTGAAATCCAGCCCTTAGCCTCAGACCCAGAACAGCTCCAAACCCTCCACCTAGCCCGACCTCCCCAGAAACAAGACGGACATGAATACGGACATGAATTTGAGAGCCTTCGGCTCAAGGTGTGGGAGGCGAGAGGTACCAGTTTTGTAAACAAAAAGTTGGGGGCTGCCCGCCCCTCTGCCACCCCGCAATGCCAAGCGTGTTTGCGGACTATGAGGGAAGCCGACATTCCAAGAACCTCCCAGCTCCTATAGCCGGAAATTCACTAAGGGCTTCTACTAAAGGGGTTGCCATACGGGTTTCTGTAGGGTAGGGGCTATCAGAGGTGTAAAAAAAACTGAGGGTTACCATAGGCGTTACCAGAATTATGAGACCGGTCATCCCCAAGGTTGCTACAGGAGATATCATTGGAGTTGGAAGTCGTGTTACGTAGGGGTTCCTGTGAAGCTTTAGGTTCAGTTTGTGGCATTCAAGATATCCTGCAGAAGCTTGATGAGGCATTCCTAGAGGTGTTAAGATCCCTTCCTCAAAATGCCTAAACAGGTATCCCCTGTGATGAGTACAGCTACTAATATCTCTTTTTGTAATGCGCCTTAGTCAAGGGATTTTGAAGTCTCTGCTCCCTAAGCTGACCCGAAGGCTTGCAGCAGTTCATGCTGACCTTGCAGCTGGCAGCGAACGGAAATCAGCTGGTGCGCAGTATCCCCCTAGCACCAACCTTCGGAACGTACTTCGTATACGTCATACGCAGTTTGGAGTGTAGGGTTTGGGCCAAGGATATGAGAAGTAACGGTACATTAGCAATCTACTGCTCGGTAGGGCTCGTAGACGGAATTATGCGGTGGAGATGTTGGGGATCCTCCCTCGCAGTTGCCTAGCTTGTGACTTAAAATGTAACTCCAAACATTCTGAACCTGCAGCCGACAACCTTAAACTTCTATTCCAAGAGACCTGCAGTAAAATGACAGGACAAGCTTAGCGGTGAGAGAGTTCTTGCCGTCGGATTCGATCTTCTCGTTGTTTCGTGGCGCGTTAGGTTTATGTCTCGAGGGTTTGTGCTCTCGGGGATCTTAGGGCTTTCTCGCTATCGTGACGCTACGTCTTCCGGGCCATGTCCCTGAGGGTTAGAGATGAGGGTTCAGGACCATCAGAGATAGACGGCCAAGCGTTTTAGGGTTTTCGCCTTCAGGGTTCTGGGATTTCGAGGTTTTCAGTTTGCGGCTCCAGGTTTCTGGGTTAGGTTTAGAGTTTAGGGTGTGTGTGCCATCGCGAGGTGACGATCAGGTGGCTGATGTCCCACGTCTACGGCGATCCGGCGATTCTTGCTGGCATCAGGGCGGAGGTCGATGAGCTGCTCCTCAAGAAGGCACCTCCTCAAAACCCTGCCCTCAACTCTAATACCCTGGACCCTAAACCCCCAAATCCTAAACCCTAAACCCGAAACCCCTAAACCCCTAAACCCCAAAACCCCTAAAGCCTTTGCAGGGTTCGGGTTCAGTGGCCTTGGGAAGGGCCCAGGGTTGAGTTTTGTTCTACTATCCGCGTCTTTCTTCTGCGTTTATACTAGGGGTTGTGTTCCACAAAAATCTACGCCCCAAAACTCCAAACCCCAAACCCTGAGTTCTCAACCCTAAACCCAAATGCCCCACCCACACCCAACTCATCACGAAGGCCACTATACTAAACGCTACACTAAAAACTCCCGCGGCCGGAAGGGTTGCGGCATTCGCGATCTGAAGCTTGACGATCTCCTAGACTTGAAACTGCCGGGAGCTCAGAGTTTGAGGGCCTTAGCCGGTAACCCTAAAACCCTAAACCCTAAAACCTAAACCCTCGGTAGAACAGACTTTGTTTGGGGTAATCTTCTACGATACCTCTGTTTCGTTTGAGGCCAAAAGGAATGATTACGGTTACATATACGACGCAGTGATTCAGGCCTCTGTCTTAGGGTCTCGGACCCTGAACCATAATAATCCCGAAAGCCCAGACAGTAAACCCCAACCGCACATCGTCAGACCTTAACCTTTCTACCCATAGCGGGGTTAGGCCTTGACGACTTTGGCCTGGGAGATTTGAAGACCCCACGGGGTTTAGTTTAGGGTTTTAGGGTTCAGGGTTTAGGAGTTTAGGGTTTCGGGTTTAGGGTTTAGGAGTTTGGGGTCTAGGGTTTGTTGGAGCTCTGAGAGTACATGTTTTTCAGGTGAGATGCTTGTCGGTTTCAGGCTTGAACCTTTGCGCTGGGCGTCTAACTCCACCCTAACACACCCTGACCCCCTTCGACACGGCTCCGGGAACAGGCACTCACATACATCCTTAATCTTCAGTTCTTCTAAGTCTGAAACCCTAAACCGTTAAAAAAGGAATCCTAAACCCTTAACCCTAGAGCGCTTGACCCTAAACCCCGAACCTGTAAACCCTAAATGCCCTAAACTCTGTATCACTGTGTCCCAAGAAGGCTTGGGGATGAACCATAGCCGCGAAATTTCTACTGGTATCCCACAGCCCAAGATCATAAATGCTCTAGCTGCGTCTCCCTCGCCCCTGAACATTCGAAACCTAGACTAGGCCCTGGACCTTAATGCAGAAAAGAACATCCTTACGTCTTAGACCGGAAGCTCTACACTACATCCCAAGCCATAAACCCCCCCAAGCCGTAAACTGCAGAACCCAAACCGTAACTGTTGACCGTACACACCAAGCCCCTATCCTTGCCATGCTTTGTTTTGAACTTTCCTCCCACAAAGGACGAACGCATGCATCACGGAGGCCGTGCGATTGCACAGTCGGCCGCTCATGAGTTCAGGGCAAGTTTGTGGCTGAAGTTTTGGGGGGTACGGTCCTACAGAGTGCTCGTGGAATGTCTTCAGGTTCGTGGTTGTGGTTTAGCTTGTGGAGTGTAGGATTCAGGGCTTCAGGTTTGGAGTCTGGGCGTGCAGTTCGGAGTTTAACAAACCTTAAACCCCAAACTTTAACCCTGGAAAATCCTAAATCAGCCTCAAAAAGCTCTGGGCAGGATCTTTCAGTCATACATACTATGCGGATAGTACGGGGGTTTAGGGTTTGAGGTTTGGGGTGGGTAGGGGGATTCCAAACCGGGAGCCTTCATCGGGTTTCGGGTACAGGGTTTATGTAAGGGATCCTCACTTTCGTCCCACCTGTTAGTGCTTGAGGACCCTGAATCAAGTTCAATCCTGGGTTTAAGCTTACCCAAGAAGGGGAAGTGGGTGTTTTGCTTATTCCCGAAGCACTAAGCTCCGAACCCTAAACCTAGACCTCGCAATGAAAGCCCCAACCCCAACAACTAAAAATTTAAATCCCCAAAGAACTTGACAGCGGCTTAAACCCCGTTTCAAGTTCAAACACTGCTAAGACCAAGTCCCACATCCTGCAAACCCCAGCCCTAAACCCTAAACCCGAAACTCCAAACCCTGAGCGCTAAACAATAAACCCTGAACTCCAAGCTCTACTTGGAGGGTCGGGGGACTTAGTAACTGGTTGTTTTAGGGACTTATAAGTACCATACCCCCAATTAGGGTCCCTCTTAGGGTACTTATAAGTCTACTCACTACCTACTTACTAAGTCCCCTAAAGACCCTCCAAGTAAACCCTAAACCGCAAACATCCCAAACCCTGAACCCCAAGCCCAAGCCTTGATGCCTCTAAGGCGACATCCCGGCCAAGCTGACGCTGAGAACCGTCCGATGCTCAGCTTTGTGAAATCTGCAACTTGTGTTAGAAACGGTTTAGGGTTTAGAGTCTAGGGTGTAGGGTGGGGGCGAGGGGTTTGGGGTTTACGGTTGAAGGTTCAGCGTTGCGGGTCTTGGATTCAGGGGTTTAAGTTATGATGTTTGGGTTTTTCTATTGGTAAACCTATCTGCACCGCTTGAGCATGCCATCTGGGGCTTTGGTGTATGGGAGCTGGGATTCCACACACCGAAAAATTGCCACCGTGTGTCTGAAGACGTCTTCCTCGCTTGAACCGTTAGTTCTAGTACGTTGATCTGCACAACGATCGGTCTGGGTGACTTCCAGCCCTGTTCCTCGCCGGGCCAGGAAATAGCATTGCATCTCATATATGAATTCGTGACCCGACCTGCTCAAACTTTCAGCCTTTCCGGCTTCAATGATGCACCCCTGCTCTTGCCACAAGCACGGCCGCAATGCTTCGTGTTTGGCGAGTTTCGGGTGAAGAGTTAATTTCTATACCCGTGGAGGAGTTGACGGAGACGGAAGCGGGTGAACTGAAGCGCCGCTTGCAAAGCGTGTGTGGATGGCCGAAGTCTTTTCAGAGACTCCTTCACGAGGGAGCGCCATTGGAGGACGACGCCCAGCTCGATGGCCCAATGGATGTCCAGCTCGTCATGCTACCGCTCGACAGTGGATCCGGTACTTCCCAGGACCAGCTCAACTCCGCACTTGTCGACGCTGCCGCTGAGGGCGAGCTGGATATAATCACTCAACTGCTGGAAGCTCGTGCTGATCTTGACGGACATGACTGGAGAAGGTTGGCGCCGCTCCATGCAGCATGCCGAAGTGGCCAGCGGGATGTAGCGACTTTGCTGTTGGACCTCGGTGCAGACGTAAACCGAGATTTGGCTGGCAGCACCCCTCTTTGTGCTGCATGTGAGGGAAACCACGAGGATATCGTCGAAATGCTCGGGTTCAGAGGTGCAGATCCGAATCTCGGTTCCCCGCTTGTGATTGCGCAAGAGAACGGCAACGATGACATCATGGAGATGCTCATTCATCAGTTCGGTGCTAGCACTGTATGCCTCCACCGTTTCCGAGACCATAGTCCAGTGCGTTGGAGCTTCGGTTCTGGCTCCAGCTTCTGACCGGCCGACAGTGTTGCCATGTGCCATGCTCCATCATGTCCTCATGCTTCTGCGGCCTGGGCAGGAGATCCCAGGGAACTATAAAGCGGCGGGGCGTCAAACCGAGGTCTTGCATGGGTCGTAGGACAACATGTCATATATCTTACACGCGCATACATACAAGGATGGACGGGTGAGACAGAGGCGGCGAGACGCATAGGCAGATACACAGAGTCAGATAGCCAGATAGACAGATAGAGAGACAGATAGACAGGTAGATACAGACATAAATAAAAATACAGATAGAGATAGATAGACAGATGAATAGAAATATGGGTGGGTTTATAGACAGTCTGTCTGGTCCCGGGGCAAACGAAGCCTGAAGAGTGGTACGTTGTTAACCTCCGAAAACACGAAGCTTGCACCCTTGATGCATGGCTTTTTTTACCACTGACGCCAAATCCAAATCCTGAATCCTAAACCTTAAGGAGTTTAAAACAAAAACCCCTAAAGTCAAGCCATCAAAAACCCTGCGCCCTGCATCCTTGATCTCCACTGACCGCCTCCCTGGAACGCTCGGATTAAACCCTAAACGGGAGTTTCCGAACAAAAATAGGGACCTTAATATAGTACCCTAAATAGCAGGATCCCTTCAAAAAAGGACCCCGAACCAAGGTACCCTTAATTCTCAGAAACTCCCAAAAGCATCTGAGGCCGAGATCCCCATGGAGTTCGGCGGATTTAAGATCCCTCAGGGGGCCGCGTGCTGAGCTCCGGTGGCTCTCTGTGCTTGGAGCACGAAATAGGAAAATACGGGCTTAGGGTTTAGGGGTTTAAGGTTTAGGGTTCTACATTAGGCCTCCTATTTTCTGAAGCTGCGAAATTTCGAGCTTAAAGTGTTTCGAAGCTTAAACCTGCAGCTTGGAAGACCCTAAACCCCAAACAAAAGATCTTAGAGCCAACACCCTAAACCCCTATCAAAAGATCTCAGAGCCAACTCCTCAACCCCGAAACCTCACAAGCCCTAGCCCTAGCCGCCCTAGCCTTGCAAGATTTAGGCATACGCCCTGAGCCTAACTCCTTGGGTGTTTGAAGATTTTTCAGCGTCGGACAAAACATGTTTGAGTCTCAGGATTCAGGGTCAAGTAGGGATCAGCATGCTTGGTGTTCTTTTGGGGATGTGTTTTCAGGATTCCCTTAGGGCTTCCTTTCATGCCCTTCAGGGTTCCTTTGCGGGTTTCTGTCGGGACTTGTCTTGCACAAAGGTCGATCAGGCTTTAGGCATGCGGATGTTCAAAGCCGAGGTTAGGGCTTTAGGGCCGACTCGGGTTCAGGGTTTGCGGTTTTGGGTTTCGCTGCCGTCGCAGCAGCCGCAACAGCCACCAATACAGCACAACCCTCTCAGGCCACGATTTTCCTGTACGCCGATGCCGTGCACAAGGAGACGGCACTGCAAATCCTAAGCCCCACAAGCCTTGAATGGCTTAACACGCCCTAAAGCTGACAATCCCCGAACATACTTTACAAATTCCTAAGAACAGAAGCCCTTGAGTCCCAAGAGACCCTGAAATCCGAGCCAGGCGCTGTGATTTTCACTTCAATATGAGAGTCCGAAGAGTTAGGGTTTAGTGTTTAGGGTATAGGGGGAAGTCCGAACAGCAAGGGACAATATCCGGTTTATGCACCGTAGTTTGCCCCCAAGCCCGATTCGAATCTGTAAGGTCCTTAGTTGCAACCCTGTGGCATTTTGCAATGATTCTACTCCAACCCTACATCCTAAACCCTAGTCTGGTCCTGATAGCAGCCTTAGGTGTGGGGTTGCAGCGGTCTTGGGTTGAGGATTTTTTTGGGCAAGGAATTTTGGGGGCTTCGAAGGCATGGTTATATAGGTCTAAGTTCAGGCCCCTGAACCCTACACCCCTCACGGTTTCGAGTTTAGGGTAGGGTTGAGGCTCAAACCCTGGCTTAAACCGTTCGAGCTGCAGATTCAGCATTTGGCTTCTTTGCGGTTTGCGGTCCAGAGCTTCGGGCTTCTTGTGGAGAGCTTTGGTGGGGGTTCCTTGTTACACTTATACTATAATGGGCCCCAAAACCCAGGGATGATGATAATCCCTATGAAATAAGGAGCTAAAGAGCCAAGGGAACCCCAAAACCACTGCTTAGTTATGGTTTTGAGTTTAGGGCCCTCGTCAAACTGACACGGAACTGGCAGCTCGAGTCGAATTCCGCCCTGGGACGGGGTGGATCTAAGGTACACCGACACCGAAAACCCCCTGAGTGCCACCCTAAACCCTGGACCCCAAACCTTAAACCCTAAACCCCGTCAAGCCTTGACTCTCACTTCTAAAGCCCCCAATCCTCAAGCTAAAACCCTCAACCTTTCAGTTCTAAAGCCCTTGAGCCCCAAAACTTCTAAAGCCCTGAACCGTCAGCCTCTACACCCTAAACCCTAAACCCTAAACCCTAAACCCTAAACCCTAAACCCCTGAACCATCGACCCCAGGGTTTGGTTGTTCCCAAGTTTCTGCGAAGGATGAAAAGTACTTCCCTGACGCTGCCGCGTTTTGCCCGCACCGCTACACGGATCCCGAGGCTGCAGAACGGTTTAGGGTTTAGGGTTTAGGGTTTAGGTCAGACGTAGAAGGTTGAGGGTTTGAAGGGGTTTAGGGTGTTTTAGGTGTTTAGGGGTTTAGGGGATGAAGGTTTCGAGAGCTTTATGGGCTCTTGGGTTTTTTCCGGGGGTGCGGGGTGGTGGTGTAGGGTTGTAGGGCTTTAAGGGTTCTATGGGTTGAAGATATTAGGATTTTAGGATTCAGGGTTTTGGGGACCCAGGGTTTTGGGGACCCAGGGTTTTGGGGACCCAGGGTTTGGGGACCCAGGGTTTTGGGGACCCAGGGTTTTGGGGACCCAGGGTTTTGGGGACCCAGGGTTTTGGGGACCCAGGGTTTTGGGGACCCAGGGTTTGGGGAGCTGTAAGTTTAGTTCGCAGAGAACCAAGAAGCTCTTTGAGCTAAGGAACCTGGCAGGTTTCAATATAGGGGCTTCCGAACATAGGGGACTCTAGTATAGTACCCTAAATAGCAGGATCCTTATTATAAGGGCCCCAAAATAAGGTACCCCTAATTTTCCAAAACTCCCAAAGGAAGCTGTTTGGTTTTTCCTTGCGGTTTCGTCGTAGTCTGCATGGCATATCTACGGTTTAGGGTTTAGGGTCTGTCTGGGTTGGAGGGTTGGGAAGCTACAAGAAACCCAGAGCCCCGAACTCAAGACCCCTCCACCCTGGCTCGGCCCCTCATCGTCTTGGGGTTTCGGGTTTCGGGTCACAACAGCCTCTCTAAATTTACTTTGAGTCTATGAACGTCAGATGCCTTCGCGACCCTAGCTCCTTGAATCCCAAAGTCCTAAGCCCCTCGCTGACCCTTCTAGTTCCCCTAAGCCTGAGTCCCTACACCTGAAACATCACCCCCAGAGCTCTTGGATCCTGGGTTTCAGAACTCAAACCCAACACCCATGAAACCCAAAATCTTGAATCCAAACCCACAACCCAAACCTTACACCGAGTAGACATGCAACAAGATGGACCCCCCACTGCCCCAAACCCGAAGCCCAAAACACTGGAAGCTTCTAGAAAGACTAACTGCCAACCTTAAGCCCTCAACATCCCTGAAGCCCAAACCCTACACGGCGCGTGCAGTCTCTGGGCGAGATGACTGTAAACCTTAAACTAGGATGTCCTTAAGGGGGGGTGGTCCAAGGGGGGTAGGTAACCTAGTAATCCCCATTATTCCCCAATACTCCCTAAGCTTCCCTAAGGTTCCCCAAAGCTCCCTAGTACCCGAAACCCTAAGCTCTGAGAGGCCTTCAGCAGGACGAACTGCCAAACCCTAAACAGCAAACCCTAAACCCTGCCCTAGGCTCTAAACCCCGAACCCTAAGCCCTAAACCCTGTACCCTGAACCCTAAGCCCTCAACCCCAAACCCGGAACCCTAAGCCCTAAACCCCGAACCCCAAACCCTGAACCCTAAATCGCCAAACCCCTAAACTCCTTCTGCCTCTCCCCCAGAGGCTTTCAACAAGATGGCAAACCCTAAACCCTAAATCCTAAAACCCTAAACCCTGAACCCTGAACCCGGAACCCTGAACCCTAAAGTCCTTCTGCCCCCTCCCCCCCAGAGGCTTTCAACAAGATGGCACCCTAAACCCTAAGCCCTTTACCCTGAACTCTGAACTCTAAACCCTCAACTCTTCTGCCCTGCCCCCCTCCCCCCCCGCTCCCCAGAGGCTTTCAACAAGATGGCACTGGACCGGGAGATCGTGACTTTCGGCCACGGCCGAAAGCGCTGCACTGGCGAGCTGCCGCTTGGCGGATTAGGGCCTAAGGGGGACTAGGCGGATTACGGTCTAAGGGGGACCAAGGGGATTACTGTAGGGGATTAGGGGGATTTAGGGGGATTAAGGGGTTTAGGGTTTTGGAGGATTAATGGGATTGGGCTTTAGGGTGTAGGGTCTAGGAACTAGGGTTTAGGAGTAAGAAGATTGGGGTTAAGGCTTGGGGTTTAGGGGCCCACAGATTTTCAAAGGGCTTTCTCTTGGGGTTCTGAAGGTTTTGTTTTATAAGCGTTCTTCGAGTGTAGAGTCTGTGAGTCGTTTTTTGTGGGGTTTACAGGGCTGCTATGGTCATTTTCGAAGCTTGTGACTTAGAAGGGGCCCCCACCCTGTAATAGTGGTATAATAGGAACATAATAGCGCCCTAATGTAATCCTTATAGTCACTATTACAGGGTGGGGGCAGCTTCGAACTTGTGACCCTTTCTTGGGGGCATCCAAGAGTTTTTTTGGTTCTTGTTGGAGTCGAGGGCTTGCGGTTTGGGTTTCAAGGCGTAGGTAATTTCTTTGGGGTTTGGACGCTTTTCGGCTTGGCCTGTTTAACCCCTGAACCCTGAACCGTTTATTTGCTCGCCTTGTTGCTTTCATTGTGTCGCTGTCGCTGACTTTAAGAGTTCTGCGGCCAAGGATCTGAT